GCCTTGTTGAACCTCATGAGGTTCACACAGGACCACCTCTCCAGCTTGTCCAGGTCCCTCTGGATGGTATCTCGTCCTTCTGGTGTATCAACATTCAGCCTATGCTTCAGCTGAAGGGAGCAACTTTGTTCAAATATGGTGTGACCTGGGCAAAAGGGCAGTTCCCAAGGGGACATAAGACCACTCTCGGGCAGCAAGACCGTAGTCCCAGTGCACAGACCCAGGAGACCCAAGGCTCAGGGGGAAAATGGCCAGGGACTCCCAGCTCATAGGTGATGAGGGGCAGGAGGTGGTGGGCTGCCCTCCATGCCTTATACATGGATGTGCCCAGGAGCAGGCATCTTCACCTGCCTCCATTTCCCCAAAGCTCTTCCTCCTCACCTGCACCGGAGCTGCTAGCAAGCGCCGAACTGCCAGAGCAATCAGCAGACCTGATTGGCCAACCTGTGCCTCAGTTTCCCTCCACTTCAAGGACAAATCTGCTATTCCTGCAGCTCTTTAACCATGTCCCACACTTGCATGGGCGCTGGCAGCTGGTGATCTCCAGCCCAGCATCTGTGTTGGTGGGACTGAAGTGGTTTGGGCTGGATGGTGCAACACCAGCATGCTCCCTCCCATACCCCTCTGCAATACAACCCCCTGGGGACCTGCTCTGGCAGCCTGGCCCAGCAGGATGGCTGCCTCGCTACTGTGCTGAGAGACTCCCAGGAGAGGCTGATAGCCCAGCTGCTGTAGAAAGTGTCCTTCACCCCTGTGAAAGCCCCTTTCCCCCTCCTTGCACACCAGCACAGCCCCCTTGCCACTGCAGCATCACAGGCAGCAATGGCTGCACGCCCCACGCTCCCTGCTGGCCTTCTGGCTCAAACACAAGGCAGGTCAACCACCCACTGGCTTTTCTTTTTATTTAACAAAATCATAGCAAAATAAAAAAGAGAGAAATGAAGCGACTTACACCCGTAATTGTTGCATCAAATGGATCTAGCAGCAAATACCTGAGAGCAGCGTGAAAGCTGCTCATGCATATCTGCCCAGGCAGGAGCACAGGGCAGGCTTTGAACACGATGGTAGGCTGGGGGACGAAGAAGGGTGGCAATGTCCCTGAGGAGTGCAAGGGCCAAGGACAACATCGCTGCCTGCTCTGCAGCCACCGCATTACTGGCTTTATTTCTACCCATGCAAGAAAGGACAGGAGGGGAAATGGTGCGGAGAAGTCAGGGCCTGAGAGAGGAGCAGCATCAGCCATGCTCTGCCCGAGGGCATCCAGGTTGTGCTCAGCAAGGAAGCAGCACAGTGAGTGGCAGGCAAGGAACATCCCCATCCCCCTCCTCCATCCCCACACTGTCCCATCCCAGCAACCCTTCCCAGGGGTGCAGTAGGACTGCAGAAGGTTGGGGGCTGATCATGGAAACCAAAGGAATCTGACTGGTGCTGGGAGTCACAGCTGCTTCACCCAAGGGAAGGCTGAGACCCCCCCCAAACTTGTCTCACAGAACAGTCCATCAGCCAGCTTCCAGGCTGCGAAGGCGGCAGAGGCTCTGGTCCAGCAGCCCCCAGCTCAGCCTGAGACAGGTTGCTGGGTCACGCTGGAGACAGAGTGAAGAAAAGAAAGCAGGCAGGGCTTTGCCCAGCCCTGCGCACTGGCACAAGTCCTGAGGAGTGTCGGCTCTGCAGCTGAAGGTGGAAGCAGGTTGGCTCCATTAGCTTCAGATTCACAGCTGGGAGTCAGCCCCACTCCAGGTGCTGGGGCTGGCCACAGGCTCCTTCTTCAGAGCCTATTTGCTGTGGAGTTTGGCCTGGGGAAGTGAAAAACCCAGCTGTGATGAGTGCGATCCTTGGGGCAGGGGCCTCCCCAGAGTCCCTTCCCCACGGTTGGGGTGATCACCAAGGGGTGACCTCCGCTGGCCAAGCCGTGGTCGTGAAGCAGGGACCTGGAAGAGCTTGTAAAGCACCCACCAAACTCGTCACAAGTCCTCCCCATGAAGATGCACATGTTGCAAACTCCATGCTTGCAGAGGGGAAGTGGGAGCGGGTTTGCTCCTGGTGCTGTTTGCTGTGCCCGTCGGGCTCAGCATGGGGTGGCACTGGGTGGGCAACAGCCTCAGCACTGCATTTATTTGGGGTGGAAGAGGGATTGCCGAAGAGCCAGACTGGTCCCAGCTGGAGGGAGGAGGGATGGAGACCAAGGCAAAGTATCCATGCCTCAGCAGAGCAAGTTCCAGCTCGTCCCAGCAGCCCAGTCAGACTGGGAAAAGCCTGTCTGGTGGTGGACAAATCCAACCCAGTGCTTGCCCCATGCCCAGCTGAGAAGAGGGATAGCTCTTACCTTCCTGGCAGAGCTGGCATCCAGCTTCTCTCGGAGGTGAACCACCCATGGGGCTTGGAGTGGGGCACAGAGGCGCTTGCCCTTTGTGGTAATGAACCTGCCAGGCCCATGGGGAAAATAACAAGATGAGGACACACCGGGGATGCTCCAGCATAGCTCAAGATCTCATGCCCTGCCTCGCTTACTGCCCTCCTCCATCTCTGCCTTGGGATGACTTTCTTCCCTGACTTTCATCCCAAGTTTTCCCCTCCCGGCAGCTCTGTCCTTTTCTGATTCAGCCTCTGACCTCCAGGGTCTCTTTCACATTCCTCCCTATTCCCTCACCTCCAAACTCAGCTCAACATCCCTCCTCCACCCTGTTCTGCCTCCCTCCCTCTCCACAGGGTCCATCCCTCTGCCACCACCACCCTGGGGCTCTTACACAGCAGCTGGAATGTCACAGCCATCCTGCACCAGCTGGAGCTGGTAATCCCGCACTATCCGCCATGGGATGGGTGTCTCGCTGGTCCGCAGGCAGCAGTCGAGAACGTTGTTCCCGCCATGCACTGGAGGAGGAACACATCATGCAGGCTGAGGATGCTCTCCCTGGGTTGGCAGCGCCTTCACGCAGCCTGTCCAGAGGGTGAAGGGCCTGGGGGGCTGCCCTGTCAGAGCAGGGCAGGATGGTGCCCACCAGCGATGCCCTCGCACACTGACCCAGCTGCACACGTAGGCATGAGATTAATTGCTCCCACGCCCCAGCACCAGGAGACCTTTGCCTCCTGCTGACAGAAAGCAAAGTGTATGAGAAACAGAAGGCTGGCAGAGGCAACCCTGCTGCATGCCTGGGTCCCTCCCGCACCCCCAGACCCAGCGCCAGCAGCAAGCAAGCCAGGACGGGGGTCTGTACCCAGCTTCAGGGTGCTGCGGTACAGACACCCGTTCCTGAGGGGCTGGGAGTGGCTTCAGCTAGATTTGCTGAAGCAGTCACAGCTTTTGCAGCGACCTCATCGCCGGCCCACCCTGCACAGATCAGTCCTATGACAGCTGAGGGACACAGCTGTCTGCGCTGCACTGCAGGGTGGGGGAACCTTGGTCACCCTCCAGGCAGATGCTCTGTTGACTGTTCATGCCCGTCAAGAGCGTCAGTCCCCAGGGATGCCTGTATCCCCAGGCAGCAAGCTGCGGTGCAACACCACAAGGTGTCTGGACTCCCCAGCTCCCCACAGCAGGGCAGAGGGCCTAGTGTCACCCACTCAGACAGCTGTGACCTGTGCAAAGCCCATGCCCGACGCCAGCAGCCCCTCAAACATGAACTCTGCCTTAGCACACGCTTTCCCTCCCGCTCCCAGACCTGCCGTTTGCCTCCAGGCTGCCCCGCGCCGAAGGATCCCAGGGATACTCCCCTGATGTGCTGGGGAGAATGGGACCAAGCGGATTCCAGTCCAGTGTGCACAAGCTGGGCTAGGGCACTGGGAGGCAGGATTGTTCCACAGCCTTTCCCAAGCGCAGCTTTCCACCCCCAGTGCCCTGCAAGCTCCTGTCTGCACTTTGAGCCCTCTGGGACAGGTTACAAGCAGAGCATGCAGGAGGGCTGAGACAGAGCCCCAGCCATGGGTCCCTCTGATAGTCTGCTGGCAATGCGAAAGAAACCAAGAAACAGGATCCTCTCCGCTCCTCAGGAAAGGCAACTCGAGAGGTTCCCTCTTACCGTGCAGAATACATCCCAGCACCAGGAGACTGAGGCAGAGAAGATGCAGCTGCTGCATTTTGCTGCTGAGTCCGGGAGAGGAAGGGCTGGAGGTGACGGTGCTCCGGGCCGGAGAGGTGAGCTCTGCACGGCTTCTCCGCGCTCTGCTGCTGGTGCTCGCCACTGCCTATTTATGCTTCCAACCCATGGCTTTCACTTTCTTTTGGTGGGGAGGGGTGGGAAGTTGAAACAAGTCTTGCAACAGGCTGGATTTTAATCTTTGCGTAGTTCCCCAATATCCCAGCTGCTTTCCCTGCAGCCAGCTGTTCTGCGGTCCCAGAGCCAAACATCCTCCTGCCCTCTCTGCTGCTGGCACCCAGGCCACAGGGGCTGCTGGTCAGGTTCAGAGCAGCTCCAGGGTGCCTTTACCTCATGAAAGCATCCCAGAGCCCTGGGCAAGCGCATGGGGGATCTCATCCCGTACATTTTCCAGTCCCTCCTCTGAGACATCTCTGGGATGTTCCCATTATATATCGCGTAGGTTCAGCCCATTGACGCTGGGGGTAGAACTTGCCTCAGCCCCATTTCTTGGGTATATTCCAGTACTGGGGTGATGCCTGACTCCCCCTGAGCCCCCCATCTGGTAGCAGGAGCCTGTCTGGCTCCCCCTGCCCTCCCCACCGCCTGTGTGGGGGACACATCCAAAGCTGGTGGATGGAGGGGAGCCCAGCCAGCACGCTCCGCCCCAGGGTTGCAATCTCACACGCCAAGAGACAACCTGGTTTCCAGGTGTCCCAGCAAAGTGGATCATGGCCAAAGGCAGCTGCAGAGATTCCTGGAAATGTGTTTTCTTGACACAAGAGCAGAAATCCCCCACAGAGGCTGTGTGCACGGCGCGGAGTGCCAGCAGCTCACCGGCTGCGTGGGCACTGCAGGGAGTGCAGACCAGCACTGCCGCTGCAAACCTTCACAGGAGCGCAGGGATGGGGAGCTGTTGCTCCTTGGGATGGTGATTCATCACCGGGCCAGTGCCACCTGCAGTGATGTCCCTTAACCAGCCTGCTTCGGCCCTGATACATGGCATGTGGGATGCTTAGAGCAGAGGGGCTGTGCAACCAGGGCAAGGGATGGTGAAGGGGGTCTCACTGCTGACAGCAGCTGCCTTGTAGGTGTTTGGAGAGATGCCAGAGCCAGGCTCTTCTTGGAGGGGTCCAGGGACAGGACAAGAGTCAACAGCATCAGTTGCATCCAGGGAATTTCCCACTGACAATAGGAAAAATATTTCCCCATAAGCAGTGAACAAATCCTGGAGCAGGATGTCCATCCCTCTGCCCTCTCGCTTGCTCCAGCTTTGGTCTGTCCTGGCACCTCAGCAGAGAGCGCTCCACAGCCCTTCCAGAGGGATAATTACCTACCTGGGGAAAAGACACAGGGCTGGGACCTGGGGACCTCAGTAGGTCCCTGCACTCCTCTCAGCACTAGGAGACAGCAGGCTCTGCCCCTTCCCTGCTCCACAGTAAAAAGCAAGAGGAGACTCCAGCCATGCCACCGCCCAAGGTTCTCTATCCTTGCGCTGGCACTGGCACCAGCCTTGTGCATGGCGGGGTCTGCTCCTTCAGGAGAGCATCGCCTTCAGCCACTCCTGTGCCCCGACAAGCCAGCACTGTGCCAAAAGATTAGGCAGGGGCGAACGGGCAGGATGAGTGGCACAAACAGGATGTGCCAGCTTAAATTCAGTTAGTACCTGCCATCTTCTAGTACTCACAAGCTATTGAAGAGAAATTTTGGCTGGTGGAAGAGGAGTTTAGGTGGCAGAGGATTAGTGTCAGTCATCAGCCCCAGCCTCCCTTGCAAGTCTGGGGATGCAGGCTGATTCTGGGACCTGGTCTCCACTTGATCTCCCCAGGGTGCTGCCAAAGAAATGCCACAGCAGGGAGACAGTGGCTTCTGGGTGCTGAAGCTGGTGGCCAACTTCTAGGCACCGCCGCTCCTAATCCGCAGCCATTTCCTCCCCAGAGGCTGGGCTGACAGCGACAGCGCGAAGCCCCCTGCGGAGAGGGGACCCCAAAAACCCAGCCCTGACCCACCAGCGAGGGATGCTGGGGGTGCTGCCCAATGACAAACCCTCACCTCCTTGCATGTTTGGTGGGTTTGGCAGCTACCAAAGCATGCCCAAGTACTGCCAAGGGGTGCTGGGGGTCTCATCCTGTGGGACCCCCCTCCAAGCACTGCTGGGGTCCTGGTCCCCGCAGCAAGCAGGGAGGCTCCTCTGCCACTTTCCTGGCACAAGGGACTCCCACCTGCTGCTGGCTCCTGGCTGGCCATGCACTGAAAGCAATGTGTCCAGTGTCAGGAATACATCTTTCTGGGGATGAACCCCTTAACCACCCCTGGCTGTGGGGGACCCCCTGCCCTCGTGCTGCCCATGGTCCCTGCCAACACATGGGCAGGAACGAGCAGTTCTGCCTCTTCCCAGCAGCTGTCTGGGTGCCAAGTGGGTGAAAGTGCAGCGGCTTCGGTTGCCTCTGCTCCCCAGGAGGAGCATCGGAGGGTGAGGAAAGGGGCTTTCCGCTCGCGTTGTGAAAGGGGAATGTGACGGGTTTCCCCCCAGCCCCACTGGGGTCAGTGGGACTTCTAAGAGGAGAGCGGTCATCTCTGAAGTGCATCCCTGTGGCATGCAGGGAGGTCACCCCATCCTCCTCGCAGGGCTGAGCCTCAGGGACCAGACGAGGCGGCACAGATGGGGAAGGGGGGATGTTTCGGGACCCAGGCTCTTCAGAGGCACATGCAGGCAGGGAAGAGTCGGGGGATCCAGTCCGATTTGTGAAGAGGAGAGAGCATTGTGTGCACTGACCCATTTAAGCCTTATCCAGAGCAATTTTGGAGTGCTGGAGCTCCAGCCCTGAGGACACCACGAGCAGCATTAAGCATCTCTCAGCACTCACCCCTGCAGAAGCCTCGAAAATGCAACTGTTAATTAAAGTGGAAACTTTGCAGGGGAGGGCAATCCCCATGTGAAATCCAACCATCAAAATATAAATGGGCCATGTGAGCATCACCTCCATCCCCAGGCTCTCCTCGGGGAGCACCAGCCATGCTGCCACCCTCCCAGAGACCTTCTGGCTGTAGGGCCCCTTAGGACAGCTGCTCCCCGCCGGCTGGTGGGCTCCGGGGTGCTCCCCCCCGGGCTGCCTTGTGGTGCTCAGCTTTCCACCTCCAAGCTACCGAGCCGGAAAGGGCAAAGGGGGAATTTCAGCAAATTCCAGGCACAGCCAGCCCCTGGGGCAGGATCTGGCCTGGCTGCATTCACTTCATTGGGAAATACTGGGCAGGCATTGCAGATGTTTCAATTTCCCTTGCAACACTCGGCACAAGGGAGCCTCCCACAAGGCTCGCATTGCAGTCCCCATCCTGGTCCAGTGCAAGGACTGGGGCTACCACCAGCGCATGTGTCTCAGGGCCCCGCTGGAGCTCCTTTAGCTGAGGGAACCCAGTCAATCTGATTTAAATGGAGTTAGAGGGAAAAAAACAGCAAGTCATGCCTTTGCCCAGAGGGAGCAAAGATGGTCCTGAGGATCTGGCTAAGAGGGATGAGGAAGGTGCCAATTCCTGCTCTGTCAGAGCCCGTCTGTCATTGGCTTTGGTGTCACTGATGTTGAGGTCACCATAGGCAATGGGCAACAGAGCCAAGACCCTTCAGCTGGGTCTTACTTGACCGCCCCAGGTGAGCACCCATTTCCTGGGGTCCCTGCAACACACGTGTCCCTCAGCATCATCCTTGGCTTATGCATTTTTCCAGCCAGGTGCTTCCTGCAAATATCCTCAGATACGTTGTGATGGCACTGAGATGGCAGTGGCCAGGTGAGATGCCCCCAGCCCTCGCTCCCTGCTGTCACACTGCCTGTCCTGCTCTCTGCAGTCTCTCCAGGGGTTTCAGGAGGGGATGGCTGGGGAACAGCTTGGAGAGCTGTGCAGGAAACAGACGATCAGCAACTTCCTTGCCATCTCCTGTATGGCTTGGTAAATAGGATGCCCTGTGAGGCTGCACACTACAGTCACCTGTGGGCAAGAACACAGGATGGACCAAAACCCTTGGAGGCTGCTCTCTTTCACTGCTCTGTTGTCTCTTAGGCTGAGATCGGGCAGAGGAGGCTGTGGGGTTCTTGGTCTGGTGGAGCTCCGTGACATGGCTCACTTTGGTCCCACCACAGGACATCTGCAGAGGAGAGCAGCTGCTCTTCCATTGTGCCTTGCAGAGTTGCATCCCAGGAGCAGGTCTGCAATCCCCAGATAGATGGGAAGGAAGTGGAGGGACCTGGGGATCTGAGGAAGTGGAAGGAGGACTAGCAGCATGAAGACACCCCAAAACCAATGGCGTGGGGTGGAGGGACGGACCTGGTATGCATGTCTCCAGGTGAGCCTCGCTGGAGCTCAGCCCTGCATCACAGCCCAGCACGCTTCTCTGCCGGCTCCAGCCCGGAGCGCTGTCTGTGCCAGCTAATGACTTCAGCTAATCATTTGGCCCGGGTTCAAGACTTCCCTTTTCTTGGCTGTACTCTGTGGTTTCTGTCTTGCCTGGCTACTTTCTGCTGTCACTGAAGCCTTTCTGCTCCAGGGTGGCCGACTTCTCCCAACTTTTTGCTCTGCTTGACACAGTTGCCTTGCCTGCAGAATGTCTAGGGGCACTTGTACTGCCCTTGCACACCCATTGCCCCCGGCATATGCTGCATCCATGCTGCCTTGTCTTTGCACGTGGGGTGAAGCAGCGAGCTTGCTCTGCTGTGGGTACGGCTGTGTGAATCCTCCTCTGCTGCTTCAGTGCGGCTTCGTCTTAGAGCAGCATCTTCTTTACATCGCTTGTCTCGGCTGGGGCCCGTGGATTTAACTCCTCCGTGGGGAAGGGGTTTTGGTCCTGCTGCACTCTCCAGATCCCAGCCTATCAGCCTCTCCCTTCAACCTCTCACAGGGAATCTCCTCGGAGGTGTTTCCCTGGCCACCTGCCTCTCAGCAAGAGGCTCCCACTAACCCTGACTCCTTATTTTCCTTAAAAGCAGCATTCAGCAGGGAAGCTGGAAGCAATGTGCAGGCACAGGCACACGCGGGGCTGCTTCTGTGCATCCATGTTGGTGCTCACGTGTGCCTTCCTGCCCAGGTATCAGCACTCCGACGCTCTCCCACAAGCCCTGCTTTTGGGGTAACATTTAGGGTAAACTAGAGCATGCCCACGTGCATGTTTTTTAACCTGTCTTAGCCTAAGGCCCACCTAGCATTTTAAGGGGAAAAAACCTGCCTGTGTGGTGTTTACATCCGCAGCCATGGAGACACCAGGATGCATTTCACACGCTGGCTCACTCCTGCGATCCGCTAGTGCTTTGCTGTTTGTGGTTGCAGACATATTCAGCTGGGCCTCATTTCTAGGGGGTTTTTGCAATCGTTTCACAATCCCCTGACAGCACGACGAGCACAAGAAGGAGTCCGGCGGAAGGCTGGGCCAGCCTCGCAGGGCTGGCTGCAGTGCGTCCCCAGCAAAAGCAGGGCTGCCTCCAGCCCTCCCACGGCAGCCCTGTCTGGCTCCCAGTGTGCGGGTGTCAGTTCCCAGGCTCCCAGCAAGGCCCGGGCCAGAGCACAGCCTCATTAATAACTTGGTATAATGCTGTTTTCCCAAAATAGCCAGGAGCAAGCAGCCGTGCTTGTCCGGGGAGGGTCGGAGTTGGAGGGTCAGGCTTGGCCGTGAGCAGAAGATGCCGTGTACAAAACCATTTAGTGTCACCATGTCGGGACTTCTCAGTGGGGATGGCTGAGCAAACAGGACGGCTTCACCTTGCCGGGCAACACAGCTGCAAGAGAAGGGACTGACAAGGTCCCCCTCCCCTGTGCCAGCAGCTGCCCGCCCCTGCACCCCAGGGACACAGCGCTCAGAGGGGCCGGCAAACCAGGACCCGGGAGTGTGTGGGGCAGAAGAGCAGCCCCCTGCGCAGCCCCTCATGCCCCGCCAAAGCCCATCACAACAGCCAGAAGAAGTGAGTTTGGTTCTAAAGGATATATTTTATTGCCTTGCATCCTGTCCAAAATCTGATCTGGCAGACGGCCGCCTGCTCCCACACGGAGGAGAGGGCAGCACGGAGCCAGCTCAGCACCCGTCCCGTACTCAGGGCCGGTATCTTGGACTTCACAGTTTCTTTACACAGGCTTAAAATAATAAGACCTAAACACCCATCTAATAAAGCAGTCAAACCAGATAAATGTGTTTGATAGAAACACTCAGCTACAAGCTTTACTGTAGCCAACACACAGCCTTTGCTGATACTGTTAAGCTCTGCAAATCCTATTATTGCAATTATATGATTTAATAGACCTTTACTGACCAAAGTCCACGTCTGAAGTCTCTGCAAGCAGATAGCACTGCGGCTGCGGCACAGCCCTTTGACTTGCTCCTTCTCGGCATGCTGGAGGGGGTTTGCAAGCACAGAGGAGATGCCGTTTCCCAGCGAGCCCTGCCCCAGAGGTCTGTGCCCCCTCTACTTGTAGCCTCCTCTTATGGTGTCCTCGGGTTAGCGACTTCTCATTTCACTAGAGGTTTGGGATAGAGCTGCTCTCAAATGGCTGCAGCATGTCTGCAATGAATTTTGCAAAGTCTTCTATTCCCACACCTGCACAGCCTCACATGCAGTTTTCACTGTGTGGGCTTTTCAGATTTGGGAAGAAAGTATATGAAAGTTTCTTCTTTTTTTCAGAAAACTAAGCATTTGGCTTAATAATGTCTGAATCTCTGACAACAGCAAAACCAAGGGAGATAAAAGATTAAAATTCCACTCAAATGAACAATTTGTTCTGATTTCATGGCAATTTTGTACCTAAAAAAAAATCAAAGGGACAAATCCTGACTATCTTTCTACAAACTACACTGTAACAGTGCGCCATAAAAGCAAAAGGGAAAGCCTAGAACAGCCCTGACATACAGCCACATTGTCACCCCCGCTGCCCCCAAACCCTCCATCTCAGCCGCTAGTAATTGCCCTGCGAGGAAGAACCCAGCAAGCAGCCCGGGCAGGACCATGCGCACATGGGACCTGCCTGGCACCCCACAGCCCTGCAAGCCGAAAAGGAGCAAACAGGTGAGAGGGAAATGAAACGCAGCCATCATTTATTTGGTAGAAAAATAAGAGCAATCTTCCAGAAAAGCCAGCCTGCAGCATAAAGGGTAGTCTGTGAAGCACAAGGAGCCAGAAGTAAAGCCTTCCAGGAAGACTGAATGAAAGCACAGTCTTTAAATATAAATACAAATGTATAAAATCCCCCCAAAAAGTCATAGGAAAAGCTGCCATCCTGCCAGGCTACAGAAATCCCCTCTAGTGGGATGGCTGCCCACTTGCTCCTCGGGGTCATGGCTCAGCTCCGACGTGGGGCCAGGTCCCCACTGGCATGGCCATGGGGTGAGCGAGGACCTGGGTGCCCTCCGCCGCTGAGAGAACCCAGACGGTGCAGGAGGTCCCAGCTGGGGAGTGGGTCGGTCATCGGTGGGTAAGGCGTCCGTCCTAAGGAAAGCAAGGAGGGGGCCATGAGGTGGAAAGGGTCTCAGCGAGAGCACCGACCCCAGCCGGGGGGGCCTTGCGTGATGTGCCTTGCCGAGTCCCCAAGCATTGCCTTGTAGTAGCAGCTCCAGAAAGAAATCTGATTTTAAGGCAAGCACAGATCAGGAGGGAGCTGTGCTCTGGGTGCCTCTGCATGGCAGCCATGGCTCTGGCAGCCCTCCCAGGCTCCACACCGGAGCTGAACACCCACCCTCCCACAGGGAAGGATCTTGGATGGGGGGCAGCACCCTCACCCCATCACCCTGCTGCCTCCTGCTTCTCTCCACCTACCTCTTCAGGCCTGGCTTAGACCCGCTGCCGCTTCTGCCGCCTGGGTCTGCCCCTGGGACGTGGGGACTGCGCCTTCTTCTTCTCCTTGTCATTCTTGCCTTGTTTGTCCAAGCTCTGCATCAACTTCCGAACAGCGGGGTCAGTGGGAGAGGCGCAGATTTGCTTGTCCTTCTTGGTGGTAAACCTGAGGGTGCAGGCGGAAAGGTTTGCTGGGGTGTGGGTATGGGGAGGAGAAGGCTGGAGTTCCGGATGGTCCTGAACGGAGCAGGGTACTTACACAACAGCAGTCAGGTAACATTCCAGCTCTGGTCCCTGGATGGTGTAGGACTTCACCAGACTCCTGGGGATGGGTTTCTGGCTGTACTTCAGGCAGCAGTCCGAGGCCGAGCTGCCAATGCCTGGGAGCAAGTGGGACATATGGGATTTCGGACCTTCACCAAGCCAGGGCTTCTTCCCAGGACTGGGGAGCACAGCACAGCTGTCTGACGGCACGGGCTTACTTGGTGTCATTCATGGGAGAGATGCTGGGGCAGCCCATGAGGGTGGGAGCTCTCAACCCCAGCGCCCAGTTGCAGGTCTGACCCTGCCCCAGGGATACCTGACACCAATTTCACCGCTGGTGGAGGGGAAACTGAGGCAGAGACGAGCTCCTTGCAAAGGGACTGAAACTCATCCTCCCTTCTACACTTTTAATCTCGGGGTGCTGCTGCCCCACCAGCCACGTGCACACACGCACACGCTCACACGCCGAGCAAGCGCTGCAAGCCGGTGCTGCACAGCAACCGGGCGCGTGCATGCGCACACCCCGCTACACACGACCGCACCGCAAACAGTGCACGCACCCGCACACGCCACAGGCTAACCGTA